GCGATCATATGGGGTTCATAAAACGTAGCAGTGGATATGAGCCTTATTGTTAACCTTTCAGGCAGCATTATTTAATGCGGTGATACGGGGATTTTGAACGGTCAATTCACGGTCTTAAAGAATTACATAATTAAAAATGTTTCAAAGAATGACTTATTAAGACGACGTAATCACCTTTAAAACGTGTAAGAGAGTGGGCATTTTATATAAGTTGAATTTAAAAGAACATCTAAAATTAGTGAACAAAATGCATGCTTCAGAAGAAGCTATTTTTTTTTTACAAAGTACAGTTTCTGCAGACGGCCGGAAAAAAGTTCGTTCAAAAGCCGACATCCTGAAGTAACTGAAATGTCTTGGGATTATGTTGCGCGGTTACTAATATTACAGACTTACTCAAGCAATCCTTTCAAGTCGAAAACGTATTTCATAATTTCGGCTAATATTTCATGAGTTAGCACACCTACTTGGTATGGGCAATTAAGACGGAGAATGGCGTATAACTTCTCTCAAAGCGAGAAAATAATTACCTATGGACGGACTGAAGCCCGTTTACCTAATTATACTGCGTTGGCTCCACATCCGAGTTGCGGACGTGATAATTCGACCGTCGCTGGCGATTTTGTACATCGTTTTTGTCACGGCAGGGTGGTCACAAGAATGGTTACTTTAGCAAAGTTAAAGTAGACTTGTGATGCATCTACCGCACTCTCTCTCCTCCTCACCAACCCATGCTTCGTGCTAAGACAGGGGGGGGGATTCGGCGTAGTGACCGACAATGTTAAGCGGCCTGTCTACGCGTGACGCACACGCCTGGCCCTCGAGCATTGGACCGCGGTTTCACAACTGACTGGGAGAACTGCGGGTGCGTCAGGTATTGACTCTGAAGTTACTTGATAGGCTTCCATTCTCATTACAACTTCTTGAAGCATCCTTCTTCGGTCTGTGATCTTTTAAGAAGTAAAACGCCGAACCGTTGAAAAAAGTGATCAAAAGGAGCATTCAGCAGGGCAGCACACAGCCGCAGGACTCGTGCTGCGGCACTCCTCATGAACCGTCATTGACTATATCGCCAGTATGTCGTCCTCCAGACTAATGGTACACACCCTGTAAACACAGTCTCCAGAGTTTGCAGTTGCAGTTTGACTCGCGTTCTTACCAAGGTTCCAAGCGCATATTGAATGCCAGTGTAACTATCCTCTGCAAATCAACCGTTGGCCTATGCTTGCCTTCAGACGGGTTTTCCAATGCACGGATGCACAGAACTGTAAAGGTTTGAAAGAGTTTGCTATGCCAGGATCAGCAAACCATGGTCCTTGCGGCCTGGTATGCGCTGGAAGTTCACTGACAACTGGTTGCCTGTCGGCAGATGCGCTTGCGCTCCCACTGGGTATGCAGATCGTGAGCTGCCTAGTCAACCTCGTCTTTCTGCTGCTGCTGCTGCTGCTGCCGTTATTGATTTTGTTATTGGTCGAAATACTGGTCATTTGTTGTGCGGGCCGGAGGGTGTGGTGGTACGCCTAGGCGCGGGTTCGGCCGCGCCGTCCACCTGCGCGTACCCGCAGCCCCGGTATTCTTAACTATGTCTTGACACTGGGTCCAGATGGGGAGTAAAGTAAGAGAGTGCAGTAGATGCTGTGCAAGTCCAATACCACTATAAACTAACCCACACGCAAGCCACAATGCCTGCTCTCACTTTGTCGTGGAGCAGACGGTAGACATTGTCGGCAACTTCGGTTGAACCGTCGTACAGAAGTTCAAGGTTCTCACAACTGCCCTCCGCCGATACCGCGGCAAAAGTTTGCAAGAGAGTGTTAAACATTTCAATACAATCAGAGCTCATTTATCGGTCTGCGGCATATGAAATTTTGCGTAAGCGAGCACATCTGTGCCGAATAGAACACATTTACTGATAAAAGGTGAAAGACGAATATTTATGCGGAAGGCGTACCATACGAACAACATATAACTCCGCGATATTAATATGAAGTAAACAGCTGTAGTTGGTTGTGGACGGCGATTGCGAGTTTGTGGAATTGTCTGGTGCACAGGTGTAGGCCTCAGAAACATCGAGTTTAATCATTTGTAGGAAGAAAGAGTGTTGCCCGAAGTGTACTGCAACATGTGATATAGCCCGGTGCCTTAGTATTTCATTGATGTTCTCCTTAAATGTTTGATCAGACGACTTCAGCCCCGCACTCCTTCCGGAAGGAGGTCCTGAAGAAACGGGTGATTGGAAAAAATAGCAGAAAGTAACCTTCAGTAGGTCTGATAGTGTCTTTAAAACAAACTGCTTAACATTTTAAGCAAATGCGTTGCCGACTTGTTCTAGTGTTACTTGGTTGGTCGATGGTTTCCTAACTCTTTCGAACACATATACATCCATCAAAACATACAGTAGGTGAGATAACTCATGACATGTCAACCGAAACTCCAAAATGCGTTTTCGTTTCAAAAAAGATAAATTAAGTAGTGTTATAAAACTAGTCAGCCTGCAGCATAATTCTATAATAATTCAGTTACCCCGGAATGCCGGCTTTCGAAAAAATTCCCTTTTGGCTGCATGCAACAAAGATACTCTTTAAAAAGTGACTACTTGAGTAGCATGCATTTTTCTTATTGATTTTCGATGTCCTTAAAAATCAATTTTATTTCATGGAAAAAATGAATAAAAATATTTATTCTTTTGCTTATTTGGTAGAAAATCACGTCTTCTTTTAATTTTATACTCGAAGGAGGGACATAATTCGGGTTTAACTGTGAGATTTTTTATACCGTGAAATGGCCGTTCATAAAACGTCATGTCTCTGCATTTACCAATGTGGCTTGTAAAATTAACAGTAAGGCTCAAACCCATTGCTAAATTTTATGAACCCATATAGTCTTCTCTTAATACCGTAGAGAAATGTGTGGTTTTCCGTGCGAGGAAAATATATGGCTTATAGATTGGAAACCCTGAATACCTGTGCAAAGGTAGGTCGGGTTCAAAATTATTCGGGAATTGCAAAAGTTTTTGAAAACCGAATAACACCCTTTCTTCGAGCACGAAGTTCGGCGGAAACGTAATTTTCTACCGAATGAGTAAAAGCATGAATATTTTATTCATGTCTTCCATGAAATATAACTGGAATTTTAGAGGCATCGAAAATCAAAGACAAAAATGCATGCTTCTTAAGTATTTACTTTAAAAGAGTATCTTTTTTGCATGCAGCCGGAAAGAAGTTCATTCGAAGGCTGGCATTTGGGCGAAATGAATTATCATAGCAGTTTGCTACAGGATGATTAGTTTCACAGCATTATTTAAGTAATCTTTTTAAAACGGAGACGCATTTCGGAGTTTCGTTTGACATTTCATGAGTTATCCCACCTACTGTACTTTCATCTTAAGATGATTGGGGACAATTTTGAAATTTTTATCAATGTTTTACCCTCTACCATCAGCCGATCGAGACTTCTGAGAGTTTATTTCCATTATAAACCAAACGTACGTACGAGCAAGCAATGTCAGTAGAAGACAAACCCACGTGGACGTAGGCTGCATTTTCAAGGAGTGCTACAATCCACTGCTTCATGGGTTTATACAAAAATGAAGGCGCGCCTGTCGGAATGAGTTCTGTGGCTAAAGCATGCCAGTCGACCAATGAGTGGCACTTGTTGTTAACCTACGTTTTTCATTGGTCTCTATTCCTAACTGTTGATTTTCAGAAACGTCAAGCAATATCTTGATCATTTTTCCTATTGATTTTCGAGGGTCTCATAAATTCAAATATATTTTATAGAAAACATGCACAAAAATATGCTTTCATTTACTCCTCTGGTAGAAAATCACATTTTCTTGATATTTTACACCCGAAGAGAGTGTATATTTGGGTTTAAAAAATTTTTACAATTCCCAAATAATTTTGTGCCTGATGTGGCATTGTATTAGAGTATGGCTATTTCAGTCTATAAGGTGCATGCCTTCCGCGTAGGGAAAATCATATGTTCCTCTTTGCCTTTAAAAAGGTATCACATAGAGTTCCTAAAATTTTGCAATACGGCCATGTGCGGTCCTGTATGCATGGACATTGCACGGTCTTAAAAATCCCATAATTAGAAACTTTTTTAAAACCCAAATATACACATTCTTCGGGTGTAACATATCAAGACAATGTGATTTTCTACCAAAGGAGTAAATAAAGGCATATTTTTGTGCATGCTGTCTATAAAATATATTTAAATTTACAAGACCATCGAAAATCAATAGGAAAATGCATGCTAATTAAATAGTCACTTTTTACCAAGTGCGGTTTCTGCAGGAGGTCAGAAAGGAGGGCATCCAAAAGCAGGCATTCTGTTGAGTCCAAAATGCCATAGGCTTATGCTGCATACTTATCATTATTACAGCTCCCTCCCTCCTAAGTTATCCTTCCTAATCAAAGACCCATTTCAGAATTTCGGCCAAAATTTCATGAGATCGGTTACGCACTGTACTCTGTTTAAGCGAATCGAATATCTTAAATTGTGTAAAAGTACGTATGGCTGGTTTGCAGCTAGTTAAATACTTGCTTTTATAAAGCAAGTTGGCTGTCTTTTCAAGAAATAAAGAAAGTCACGAAATAGCTGGTAAGCAAGCTCGCCATGGCGATAAAATGTTATTAGTAGATTTCCGAATGTTTCCTAATTTTCCTTATGCTTTATTGGGAACGAAAGAGCTGCTGTTACTTGAGCTCTAAATTGAAAAATCGAATCATAATTGAATCCCCGTGTTTTGACGGAATCGATTTTTAATGAAATGTAATTAGCTACGAGATGACGGTCAGACTGACTGCTAAAGGAGGGTGTGAGTCGCTAAACGGAAGACTTGACAACACCCGAGGTATGTGGGCGCGGCACCCACACTCGTGGCACTGATCATGCGCGCAATGGGAACGATAACTCTCAAGTACGCGGGAATTGTAGGCGGTCATCTGACGGTGAAGCGTTGATCTCCAGTAATGGTTGCGAGAGGTCGCTATAAGGCGTCAGACTAAGGGTGAGAAATTTGAACAGAGATGCAGTGTGCATCCTCCCGCATCATCTTCTACTTCTTCATCATCATCATCATAATCATCACCACCACCACCACCATCATCATCATCATCATCATCATCATCAGTACCAGCATACTCTTCTTCGTCCTCCCCCTCCTCCTCCTCCTCCTCCTCCTCCTCCAATTCCGTCACTACTACTACTACTACTATCACCACCACCACCACCACCACCACCACCACCACCACCACCACCACCATCATGATCATGATCATCATCTGGCTTTTAGATTTCTAACTCACGCTGTCGCATGTTTTGTTTTTTGTAACATTCGGCCTATTACGCTGCTAAATTGGCATGGGCTGTTACGTTGTTCACTTTTTAAATGAGGGCAGACAGCATGGTCTCGCGTCTTTCAGACAGAGATAGTGGGGATACTGGGGACATATTCCCGTCTCTGTCATCCTCTCCTTTGTTTTATTGCAGACTTTATTAGACTTGACCTCCGTCGGGCCAATTCCAGTCTGCCAGACCTGGCTCACCCTCATAAGTTACGTTGGTTTCAGACAATGCAGAGGAATGCCGTATAGCGAATGGGCCTCTTACCTGCCTCCCCGTATCAGAACAAACCGTGGTTGCCGTATTTTCAAAAGTCGAGTCAATGTTTCATTCAGACCATACCTCCTTGCTGGGTTAGTGTACAAAACACCAGGACAGGCGAGAATCACGAACGATACGCTCATCTTGGTAGTATGGGGACATTTTCATAACAAACACGGGAGACTTCTAGTCGCCAAGTATAGGTTTGAGGGAATGCATTAAGCACGTTTAAAAAACGCTCCGATCAGCAACTGCTTCGACTGACTATTCACTATTTCCTCTCCAGATACCATGCAGTGTGCTCTTGCTTCCGTGAAGGTCGACAGTCCGACTCTTTATACCTCCATTTTGACAGGCAGATGAAGTCGTAATCCCTTGCTTTGAGATGCGTGCTCATTCTTGCGGGAGAACAGGTAAGAGTTGATGTCCATGGAGAATTATGGGCTGCTAAGCTAGTACCCGTGCTGCTAATAATAACATCACCGAACGCAAAAATATATCACTAGTTGCCTGTTGGCAGTTAATGAATATAACGCGATTATCCCAATGGACTTCGGACCAAATATTAATTCATCAAATTTCGTCCTGTGCCCATAGACTTGGGTATAAACTGATTTACTCCAAGTTAAAAGTCGACTTTTGAGGAATGTAAAAAAACAACAATTTCTAAACTGAAGAATCTACCAGAAAGCACACGGGAGATGTTGGAGTGTTCACTAGTGAGCCGACCCGCAAACACCTGTACCATGCAGCGCAGCATATCGGAGAAACACACATGCCTGGGCTTTTAGCTAGTACCTGTGCTACTAGAATGGTATCTTCTGACGCTGTCAAGCCATTATAAATCCGAGGACGCCCTGAAGGGCGAATGAATATGACCACGTAACGCATGTCCAATCCCCTGATTTAGATGTATGCGCTTTTCGAAAGCTCACTGTTTCGAGAAAGCAAACATGCTTTCACTTTAGACTTGTCCTTGAATCTTTTTTTGCGTTTCGCTTTCTGTATCACGGTGCGATGTAAGTGGACTTTTGCGCCTTTAAGCGGGGTGGATGTATCCACTTCGGAGTTGGACAACGACGAATGAGACACACCAGCATACTGCTGCATTAAGCGCAGCAGATGAGAAGCATGCGATTGTACTAGAAATGATGAACCATTTATTTTATCATGTCGCATGGAAGAGAGAATCCCCTGAGAAGACAGCCTTGAGCTGAGGTACACAGTCTAGGTGCATTTAATTGATTCGTTAAAAATCGGCTGTACTGATGGCTGAGAATCCACATGCCGCAGTTTTTTTCAAAGACACTGGGCACGTTTGAATCACCTACCAATCACGGGAAAGCTAAAATTAAGCAACCGGTTTTTGAAAGCAGTGTCCATACTTCGGTTACGTACTATGGAAACTGATTAATTGAATTTTAAATCAGAGAGGCCTGGGATGTTCTTTTTTAAAAAACCATCGAGCTACTCCTACGAACGAACTACGACGAAACGGAGAATCGCCCCGAACACGTCCAAATCATCCAACACCTGAAGTTCTGTCTCAAGACGTACTTTACGTTAAACGAACAATCTACGAGCGAGTGAAGGGCATGAAAATCAGTTCTCCGATTCAGTTTACGATGGAAGAGGAAGAAAGGGACTTCCTTTTCCACTGATTGCATCTTCTTCTTCTTCTTCTTCTTCTTAATCCGGTCCCCTACCAGGACAAATGTCACATAGGGGGAGTAGCTTAAATCACGCGCCCAGGAATTCTAAAATATTCGTCCAAACCGAAAAGTAGTGACAAGTCCTCTA